TATTTAAGTGGTTCTTGACTATCAGAAAATTTATTAGGTAAGCAAAAGAAAAAATTCTCAGAACAGAAAAAAGAACAGTTAGAAGAATTAATCAGTGGAATGTTTTGTGTGTTCCATCACTGGAGGTGTTTAAGAGATTGGACAACCATTTGTCTGAAATGGTATAAGGTCTCTTGCATGAGCAGTGGGTGGGACTAGAAGACTTCCCAAGGCCCCTTACAACTCTTATTTATTTTGTTAAAACATTTGTAATAAAAAAGATATAAAATACCTTGTGGAATTCCACTATTTTTCACTTGGGGTTCAACAACCTGAATTGTGTCATCTTCAAGATAGAAATATATTTTACAATGTCTTATTCTGTACAGCTCTTGATTTTTGTCAGGAACTTCTTCATCAAAATAAGCATTAAAAGACAATACCTAGACAAAAGCACAGATAGACAAAATCAATTCTACTACACACACACACAAAATATATGCATATGTTTACAGTATGTATATCCATAGACACAGACACACACAAGATGGAAAAGCTGGATTCTAACAAAGAACTGTACCATTTTGTTTTTATTATGGAGATACTTTAATTAGTTGTATTAATCTTTTATAGGATCATAAACACTTGAATTGATTTGACTATACAATAGATTACTTATCCAGATTCTTACATTTAGATATGACACAAATAACATAGCTCAACAATCTAAGAATGACAGTCAGTATTACATCTTCCTATTTAGGAAGGAAGGAAGGAAGGAAGGAAGGGGTAAAATCAACAGAAAATTCCCATAAGTCAACAACTTTTTTAATTGCTAGGGACACAACAAGAGAAATAATAAAACTTTTTACAGGAACACTATTGAATGTCACACTGTCTGATTGCCCTGATATTGCAAAGACACGACTCTGCACATTTTCTGGTTTTGTAATATTCATTAGAAAATAAATTATTTAAAACTGTCTTAATATGATGGCATTTATTTTTGTAGTGCATGCAATCAGGATGGCATACTGCAGGAAAGAAGAAATCCTTTAGTATGCTTTACTGAAAGAATACCAAAGCATGTTCTGCCACCAAGATAAAGGGACAGCAGCTGTGTAGGCAAGAAAAAGATTATGAAAGGTAGAATCCTGTCTGAACTCATCCTTAATGATATATTTAATCTCCTAATTAAATAGGCTGTACATAGTTAATTAAACACAGTGCAAATGGGAACAATCATAAGCCTCATCAAGAAAAATGTTCATATTAGCAAGGAAACAAAGATTGCAGATGATACTTTCTAGTAATTCAAATATTTTTGAAATGTCCTTTTTTCTTGTAAGTATATTGCTTTGGAAACAATTTAACACCACTTGCCTGGTGTTTGGCATGTATGTGCTGATATTTATCCTCTCTCTTTCAATAAAATTAATAGAAATTCTGTATCAAGGAGAAAAATGATGGTGGGAGACAGAGAGAATGGAGATTAGCCAAATCCTGGGGGCACTCTGGAAACTGCATTATGTTTGGCTTGCTTGGACAATATAATTTAATGAATATGTTTTACAACGAACATTTTCAAGCATGAATTGTCCCGTATGTGACTTAAATATTTAATATCCTAATCCGCAGTCTAGTTAATTAATTTTATTTGGATTTATATGAATTCTGCCCCACAGGTTTTTTTTTCAGACTGGGGAATGATTTAACTTCAAAGCACTTTGGCTGAACTAGTTCGTAGAGCATGCTGCAAACATTACATTCATGTGGCAAGCTTTTCACAAACAGAAAACTAAGATTATCATTTTATATATTATTATAATGCATGAAATGCAAACCTTTCTCTAATATCATAATTCTTCAATTTGTATACTTATGAAAATATAAAATTAGGAGCAAAAAGAATAGTATGTGAGCACTTCACATGATACAAACTCTTAAATGCTGGATTATAAATGGAATACTTCTGTCTATATAAAAAATAAAAAGACCTACAGGATCTGGCTAAAGGCTTATCTTGTCCAGCATTCTGTGTAACACATGGTCAACCAAACACATTTTGGAAAGAAGCATGGACAGGAGGGTGATAGCCCTTTTCCACTGTTTTCTAGTAGTCTATAATTAGAGTGTGTGATTGCAGCAAAATCTGAAAAGCAAGACAGTAAATTGGATTAAACTGGTTTGGCAATCCTGGATCAGAGGCTTGCTAATCACAGGAAGCATAACAGTCTGTTTCCAATCATCCAGGATAGAGTGTGAAGGTACAGAAATATGATTTGTGATAGGTCATTACCTAAGTAACTCTACAATGATCTTGCAATTTAGATTAATATTACCTTAATTTTCTAGATGAGGAATTAGAAGCTGAGAGACAATCGGTTTCTAAGGTACTAAATGTCTACATGGTACTGTGAGGTTTTCTAAATTTATAATTTAGATTACTTTCTGTCAGAACTTTACAGTTAAAACCCCAAGCTTAATATTTATTGCACAATATGAGGTAACACTGGAGATACAACTAATATTGATAAAATTCATAAAATCTATAAAACAGCAAATGTATGCCAAGTGTACTTTCGCACATAAAGTATCCAGGATAAAAAAACCTCTGATTTGTTTACAAATTCCAGGAGAATAAATCAATAGCAGAGATGAATCAATTAAGAAAGAATCTCTGGTCAATTGCACTGGGCATCTTAATTCATCTTTTTCATCTGAATAAATCTGTTAAATTTCATCCAACAGTTTGCAAGATTGGAGTGTATAGTTCTCCCTTGTGAACAACATACACCCACACAGATTAGAAGTTATTTATATATAATTCAGAATTGCTGAAGAGCTCTAGAAGATTTGACTTTTAATTGTTCCTGCAGGCAGTTCTACATGTCATCCAACCTCCAAAATGTTTTGTGTATATAGTCTAGTAGCACAGAATTTGTCTAGCAGCCCAGCCAGACTTCAGTAACTCAATAGCAGACTTCCACCAATTCTGGACTATTCCTCATTAGAAACTCCTCCACTTCATCCCATCTGATGTGCAATGGCCAAACTCTGGCTCTCCTAAAAGGCTTTTTATGGGGTGCAGTAAACTTTCTTCCTTCATTTTTTTTTAGTTAACTTATTTTAGGATCCAATTAATTACTGAAATGATAACAAACAAAAAAACACAGCAGCAGATCAGTGTGAATAAACAAATCAGTTACCTGTTTATCAAATGCTACCCATGAAGGTGCATCACTTCCAACACCTCTAGGAAATACACTATACTTTGGTTTTAGTTTTTGTCCAAGCAAAGGTTCTCCTCCTATTCCAGGTTTGTCTTCTCCTACTAACATAGAAACCTTATTGCAGTAACTCCAATGTTGAGACTTATGGAACTTTTCTTTTCCTAGCTGCAATCAAAATGAGATAAATAGAAGACAACTATTAAAAAACAAAAAGGAAGATAATGTTTTAAATATACAAAATAATTATACAATAATTGTTCAAATCCATAAAACACTGAAGGAACTTAAGTAGTAAGTAGTCAGCTCTATTATCAGTGCTTAAATATTGTATATTTTCAATCACATTTCTTAAATATAAGATAACTTTTATTGTCATTTTTACTGTGGGCACACTGGCACACATTAAAAATGAAATTCTGTTGCCTGCTCTCAAAAGTGTACACATACATAACACACATATAAACATGCTATATACACACATATGTATATACCTACACCCTTACATATAAATACATATAAATATTAATCACTATCCATCTTGATTAAAGATAAAGGTGGGGCAAAACTGCATAATGTAAACAGTCCATCTTAATATTGCGCCTTAGTTTTACAAGAACTAATGACAAAATGTATTGTGTAACAAAACACAGACCTGACTTTGCAGATTTAAAGTGCAAACAATGGGAATGGACACACTCTGTGAAAACATATATATGCATTTTAATTCTCTCTCTCTCTCTCTCTCTCTCTCTCTCTCTCTCTCTCTCGCTCTCTCGCTCTCTCTCTCTCACACACACACACACAGAAATATGCAATAATGACTTAAACTACTAAAATTATGGATTGCTGGTGATGCAAGAGGCAAAATCTATCAATGTATTTCTGAAACATTTAATTGTACTGTAGCTCTAAAGAAACAGGAAAAAGTGGACAGCTACACGTTGGGTAAATTCAAATATTAAATAAGGATACAACTACAGGAGAATATTTTAAGTATAAAATATTTGTACATCTGCACAGATGTGTAGCAAACCAAGGAATGATGTTGGCTGAATCTCTAACCTGTACTGCCAATAGCTGTAAAATCCTTCTCAAAATAAGTCAGGGCAGGGCACATATACGTTATTCTGCCAATTTAGCAGTGAAAGAAGAGTGAAATAAAAAAAAAAGGATTCATTCACCTTCTCTCTTCTCCCCTCGGTGCACAGCTCCCGTTACGTCACCCTCATTTCTAGAAAGGATTCCCAATAATCAAGTTTAGCCTTTTCTTTACCCAGATGGTACAGGTCTAGGAAACAAGTGGTATTCTTCCATACCATATAGAAGAATCCTATAAATAATCTGAGACCTGATCAAAGAGAGAGTTTGAATCTGCCTTCTTCCACTGGACGGCAGTTATTGGGCATTTAGAATTAGTTTCACGAACGAAGTTTACACACGTGCATCGGCATCCCCGCAAAACATTCTGTAAACTTAAACTTAGGAAGCTCCCGGTAGCCCCTGGATCTTAATCAACATTACTTACAGTCCTGTTGAAAGAGTTCCCGGGCAGGAGCGGTAGCGCCATAGTTGTGCCGGTCCTGCCTGCCGCGTCCTCCGCCGCCTCAGGGCTGGTGTTGCTGCCCGAACCCGGCTGGTCGCCCTCCGCGCTACCAAGGCCGAAGGAAGCGCAGCCGAGCTGTTTGGAGTCCAGTTGCCTGGAGACCCCCATTCGACGTCACATAGGATGGCGGGGAATGGTGCGTTCGCTTCGCCCCTGCTCTATGCTGCCCCCTGCAGACACAAGACTCTGCCGCAAAACCTGCGGGGGGGGGTGAGGCTTTTGGATCGCGCTTTGCTGTTGAAATACGCGAAGTTCCGTCTACGAGACTGCTAGGAAAGGTCTTTCTGCCTTTTCATCGGGCCTACCCAAGGGATTGTTGCCATTCCAGTCACAAAGTAATTAAATGGCGCTTTTTATTGACATAGGCCAGTTCTCAACAATGGACATAATAACAGGTAATCCTTTTTTTACGTTACACTTACGTTTACAGTTACTATATTACAATATATTAGGTGGTATGTGAAATACAGCTAACTTCACTTGGGAAATTTTGATCCCTTCCATTTTTATTTTAGGAGGCATCTACCCTGTTGGGAAAGTCTTACTTTTTATTTTTATTTTTTATCTGGAACTCCTGAGTCAAAATTTCTGTCAGCATTGATTTTGCTTTTTTGTTTTCTGTTCACTCCATGTGTGGTGAGATAATGCCTCATCAATCAGTCCTGCAGGGAATGGTCATTGTTCTTTTGTGTACATTTGTTGGTAGAAATTCTAGCCCACTGAATAACACCAAACAGCAAGTTAAAATTAGACAGAGATTTATTGGCTACAACGTTTGCAAAGTGTGGTGGACTCCAAATAAATATTTGAGCCACACCTAGTCACAGCGAAAACACACATTATATACATTCTATCCCAACGCCTTGGCCCCTCCTTTGAGGTTACAATCTTATCAGAGCTACCTAAACAAAATACATTATCCCTGCCCCTTACTATTTTGCTTCACCTATTCCCTTATATGTACTTTAACATGAAATCGTATAGCTCAGTGTGGAAATCCTATAGCCTACGTGCAGAACTCTTCCAAGGTACATGTACATGTAGAAATTGTGTAGAAATCTTATAGTCTACGTGTAGAAATTTTACAGAGTACGTATCACTTAACTTTACTTTTTATTCTAAAATTTTATTCCTAACAGATCCACCCTTTTTCTTTGCATACTTAATAAAATTTTAGAATCTTCTTAAATTCATTTCAATCTCTTCTTTGTGATTATTCTGTTATGTCTACCTTGTCTTTAATTTCCTTAAAAGCTAACAGTGTCTGTATCTTTTCCTCCCGTTTGATGCCATCCATTATACTGGTTATAGTTGTATGGACTAAATTTTTAATCATAGGAATTGGGCAAGGCAAACACATTAGTCCTAATAATATTATGCCCACCATGAATAATGCTTGTTTCCAATTGCGAAAGATTCCTCCCCAAAATCCCCCTTCATCTAAAACAGCGGTTCTCAACCTGTGGGTCGCGACCCCATTTGGGGTCGAACAACCATTTCACGGGGGTCGCCAAACAACGCAATCCGCCATTTTTTTTCCTCAGCTGGCACCGCGCATGTGCGCCGTGCCACACATGTGCGCCACGCATGCGGGCGCTGCCGCACATCCGCATGCACGGCGCGTTCTTATGACCGGGGTCACCGGTATAAAAAGGTTGAGAACCACTGATCTAAAAGACCAGTCCAAGTCTGGAGTAGAACATGTACAAGTTGTCTCATTTCAGTGGTTAATTGCTTCACTTCTGCACCTGTTTCATCTATTTGTAAGCAACAATTTGTTAAATTAAACTTCCCACATAACCCTCCTTCCTTAGGTAATATATCCTTTCTTTCTTTATAGTGATATAAGTTAATGGATCTGTTCCTGTTCCGTCTATCCCAAATCCATAACTTACTATATCAGAATGGTTCTTAGTGATTTCCAACTCCATCGTATTAGTTCCATATATTCTCTTAAATTTGGTAATACCATTACATCCTGGATAACCTCCTCCAGTGTAATCACACACACAACTCCACCCTGAACATTTAGTAGATCCGGCACAAGGCAACCATTGATTGGGGTTTCCATTTGCAAAGTTCAAATTGGTGGAACATATATATTTATGATTTTGTTTATATGCTGTGATCCAACTAGAGTCCTCACATTTTGTGGCGAGATAAGATAGACCTAATACTGTGCATGCATCAAATTGTATCAAAGCTTTTTCTGTCCCTTTTTCTAACATTTTAGTAGAATTAACGTATATTAATCTTTCTTCTGGTAGAGGACAGGAAGACCTGGAGGAACATTGTCCATGGGGTCGCGACGGGTCGGACACGACTTCGCAATTAATAACAACAACAACAATCTTTCTTCACCTTCAGGTCTCTGTCTCACTCCTACTTTAGCTAAACCCACATATATACTGAAATTCAAATATGTTGGCATCGATGGATCATAGCATTGTATCTTTTTGTCTCTTCCCTTACAAACTGAATGTTGTGTTTTATTTAATTGACATATAGATTGAAATATACACCCCTTTGGTGGCATTGGTAATCCAGGCTTCACATCCTTCTGCTTCTGTTGCTCTTCTATATCATTCCCTAGAGAGGGAGAGGTATACAGCCAGGGACAAATATATAGCACTAGGGATTCACATTTTATATTAATCTTTTTCTTCTAAACTGTGATATTTTATGAAGGCTTCTCGTTGTTCTTCCTGGACTAATTGGATTGAAGGAGTATCTTTTAGAGCAGTGGTTCTCAACCTGTGGGTCGGGACCCCATTTGGGGTCAAATGACCATTTCACGGGGGTCACCAAACCATGCTGTCCGCCATTTTTTTCCCTTTTCCCTAGCTGTCCTACTCCCTCTTATTGGTGGCCACACCCACTTGGGGGTCACTACAACATGGGGAACTGTATTATGGGGTCACGGCATTAGAAAGGTTGAGAATCACTGTTTTAGAGTATATCTTACCACTCCAGTCAATATCTCAGTATACTCAAAAGGTTTCAATTTTTTTTCAATGAATACTATATCGCATGGTCCAAAATGTTCTTCACATCCAGTACATCTTACACAGTCAATACAATGGAAACAACAACAATCAACATGGCATTTACAGTCACAGTACCAACACATTTAAACAGGAATTTTACAAAGTATCAATTTAAATGAGTCGTCACCCGAACACAGGTCCACTGTCCTTTTGGTTCAGCTACTGGTCCCTTCACTTGCGTATAATGAGTCCACCCTTTTTCTTTCGTCCGAACTGCAGTTTCAGAGGTCAGCAACACCTGGAATGGTCCTTCCCACTTAGATTGCAATTTCTCCTCCTTCCACATTCGGATCAGGATCCACTGTCCTACTTCAAACTTATGAACAGGAAATTCCAAAGGGGGTGTTTAGATCAGTAAGCCTTGTTTCCTGCAATGATCAAGATACTGCGACAGTTTATGCACATAATGTATTATTACTTTATCCCTTGTTACTAAAAAGTCCATGGAGATGTTTGCAGGCATAAATGACACACCATACAATTCATAAGGAGATAAAATTTTATTCCTAACACATTTAAGCTAAAATCTGTTTTAGCCTAAGAGTAGAAGTTGTTTTTTTTAAATGAATAGGATAATGTCAGCTAAACATCTTAGGATGGTTTATTAAGGTGCAATATAATATCATTCACTAAATTCACTGTTATATATACTTGTCTATACTCACCTATAGCCTAACAAGTGAAGATAATCTGTTTCACTTTCACATTTCACGAAGTAAATACTAATCCCCAATTTGTTCCTTATCTAATATCTTGATTTCAGACTGGGATTATATAACCTAGCACCTTTCCTATGTGATTGGCCAGTATTCTATAATCTTTTGTCTTTTTTTAGTATTTAAAACATCACAAAGTTTTTTCTTGTTCTATGAGCCATTAAAATGATTTTGAGGACAAATTCATGTCAAGCTATTAACATTAAATAAATACCCTCACTGGTACCATCATTTTAATTTTTGATCTGTTTCACTGAGGAAGACAATTGAAGAGCAGATTAAGTTTGTATATACACTGGCTTCCATAGTGTTCATTCTTTGATAGTTGTAAATGGAAATGTTAGCTGCCACCTCTTCCCCTTTGTTTTTGCCTATTAAAACAATCAATTTCCTCCTAACAATTTAAAAAAATCTGCATCTGCAAACCTGTCAGAGTCACTTGGATAGTGAAATGGATGGTGTCTAAACCCTTCAGTATATAGCTGTATATTTGGGTGACATCTAGACTCAATTTGTTGGCCTTTTTCTATATCATCAATAAAAGTTTAATTGCTGGCATGATTTGAGAATCCTGCTTGAAACATACTTTATATACTACTTATCATAACTGGTATTTTTGCCAATAACATGAATTGTGAATGAAACCCAAAAATTAAGCCGTTGTATAACTAGCTCAGCTTCCTGGGAAATCATTTTCTTTCCACTTCTCTAGCTATATTACAAAGAGAAAATTCCTGTTGAGTGACATGAAGCTAGCAGTAGCTGCTTCCCTACTGAACAGCTATCTCAACACTGTATATTTCCTTCTTATCCATTACTTTCTTAGCAGACTTATTTTATATGACTCTATTTACACAAATTTTGTAATCAATAAGACCTCATATCTTTGTCTTCATACAATTTCTCCGTGAAAAGACAAACTTCGGTTCATCTACAGTTCAATTATTGCCCTTTCAAAAGGAAGCCAAGTGAAATAGGTCTATTTCCTGTATTATATCATTATCACTTTTGTAGTCAGTTGATAATAAAACAGAAGTAAATTCTAGTTCATAACTTTTTTGTTAAAAATAAAATGACTGAATCAACCAGACTCTTTTATAAACGATGCCAACTTAGGAAACAAAAATGCATTACATATTTAACTTTGAATTGGTAGAGTTAGTAAATTAATGTTGGTATCCTTTCTGCATATCCTTTGTGCTTACTACAAATCCTTATTTCTTTTCCGTATCAAAACCAAAATATCTTGTTTCTTTACTAACAAACAAACCTTTGGCATTCTACATGTATTCAAAATGCCATTTGCAAATTGTTTTAAAAACAGAAAGAAGTTTAGTGGATTCTATTTTGCAACAGAAAAAATTTGTGGTAATTTCTGTCTGAATTGTAATTTGGTCAGTATTCATTCCTATATATGAATAAATATAGCATCTACCAAAGATAAAAAAATCATTTTTTTCATTCTTACTAATGGAGACTGATGATAAAATTACATTGAACCACTTACAACATATGTAATACATAAAACAAATTCATGATAAATGAATTTACCGCACAAAGACTAATAAGTCACATCAACTAAATGAAAGTTGTTTAACTAATTTACTGCATCTTATTTCTTTTGCAGGAAAG